AATAAGCACTATGTTTACATGTAATTAAAAAGAAGGCACAAATATAACAAAGAAAAGAAGAGACACTAGTGAAGACTCATCGTTACTCGAGCCTCCAATTCTCAACGTGGAGTTACCAATATGTATTTACACGACTTACATGTCAATATACGGTACGACGAGGGACAAAACATAAAGCAAAATATTCCAGGATAAGAGACAACACTAGAGAACGTGTGTTACTGAGTTGAAACAACGTGAGTGGTAAGAGGTAGGGCCTAGAAGAATGTTTGAGGCTAGAAACGAGAAGGGTGTACGAGCTTCTGTGCCTTTTGCTAGAATAAGAAACCAGGACAGACAATGGGATTGAACTTTGCGATGCAAGCAACCACGTTTTCACACTACTGGGCGACTTACGGTCGCGTTTTGTACCTATTTGCCGGCCTGGTCTCAGTTCCACATCTTCAACGATTGTCTCAAATTTTTCTCTTAAAGACGACGTCCTCCCTATTACAGATTTATCCTTGTTGACGAATACAGAATTGCTCTGATCGGTTTTTATATTTGAAGTTACGTTTGTAACGTCACTTTCATGTGACTCTTTATTCGTGGTAATAGAACCATTTACAGACTGTTGTTGTTCCGAATCAGACTGACATAAATTCATGTTTAAAAATTTCATACGTTTTAATCTATTCGCTTCGCATAGGGTCAAGCCTTTCTTTGTTTCTTGCACTTCGCTGTCAAGCTTTGGGGATCCACTGGGTATTCGCTGAACTGTGGTGGGTGGATTTAACGAGTTCGATCCTGGAGTATTCTCTTTCGAGTGTGAGTTTGAACATATTTTCGGAGACGTTGTAATATCGAGCGCAGTTGTAGGTAAATTTTCCACGGAAGACAAAATGGGATATGGTGCTGCAGTCTTTTCATTCGTTTCTTTCTTGGGAATTATCGGGTTATTTTCATTCACATCTGAGAGACCCGGATGATCCGGTTTTTTATGTAAATTAAATTCAATCGGCACACTTTGTGGCCTCAAAGGTGTCGGGCCTTTTGTGTCTCTATAATGTATACCGTTCTTTTTTATGTGATTATGATCACTGATTAATTCCTCAGTGTTTTTTAATTTATCAGGAATATTTATATTCTCCAAAGAGACAGAATGACTTTTATGCCAACGATTAGCCTTGGAAATATTTTTCCTCTGAGTGCTATCTATCAGAGAGTCAATAATTTCATTGTTAATGTCAGACTCAGTCTTCGTTAGAAACATCTTTCGTTTCTTGTTAGCAAACTGTTGACTGTTAAGGTCGTCTTCTAATTTGGAAGTTGCGTCAAATTCGTTGGACAAGTTTTCCTTGTCCTTTTCTAAGTCCGATTTATTTAAAGCTTGAGATTCTTCTTTGATACCGTTAGTCCCACGAGTACATTCTTGCCATGCCTTCTTCATCTCTGGCTCCACTTCGAACTTCAAATCGTCCATTACATTTTCCGTGCCAGAGAAAACATAATCCATAGGAACATAAAATTTGCTATTCGAGATGGTAATGCCGTAACAATCCTTTCCCATATTTTGGATACCCTTTATATCATTTAACAAGGACGCTTTTGCTACTACGTTTTTCTCAACAGTGGACATATTAGAAATATTCAACTCTGGATGATCCCCCGAATAATTCAATGAATCGCTTGACCTTTTACTTTCATCAGTCAGATTGAACCCCACCGATGAACATGTATTTAAAAGATTCGAGTCTTTGGATATATCATTAACGGACTCAAAAACGTTCTTTTTAGACGAGTGCAATTCATTCTTATCGGGAATGGGACAGAACTCAATTTCTTTGCCAGAAATTAATTTGTCATCCAATTTGACGGGTTCTTTAGAACACTTGGTTAATTTATCGTCGAATTCTACATTCTCGTATTGCAACGGTACATTTAACTCTTCTAAAGCAATCGAACTGTTAGGCTCTTCGAATTTCGGATTAACGGCGTCACAGGGGTCCGGGTCAATCGTCGTTATCGGCAAATCGCTATTGAGTGCACTTTTCTTAGACTCGTGTCGTCTCTTTACAATAGTACGTCCACGTTTCAATATATTGCTTGCAGGTTTGCGACTACTTCTGGTTGCGTTACTGTATATCTTACATTGAGAAACGGGAGTGCTGGCTGACATCCGAATGAAAATTGGAAAGAAAACAGACAACACATATTGTATTAATAATACTCCGGCTTCGTTAGCGACGAGAAATAAAAAAAAAGAAAATTTAAACTGGAATACATTGTATGCTTCCCTAAATCATCCTGTCTATAGGATTCTGTATATATAATAAATATATATTCAAAGTCTGTTCGATGCGAACAAAATTTTCACTAAAATCGAACGATCCCTTAAACGCATTCTACATACCTTTGTTCAGTTTATCGAGTTGAGCCTCCAGTGCTCTGAGCTTGTCCCGCTGCGCCTTGTTCTCCAAAACAACGCGTTCCAATTCACTTTGAGCTTCGGTTTTGAAATCGTTCGCGACCCGCACGGTCATTAGCAAGTCCGTTTGAAACTGCTCCCACTCGACAACTTCGTCTTGCCTCAATTTCCGTTCCTCTGCCAAAGCTCTTTCCAACTCGAACTGCCGCGTTTGAGCCTCGCGTTCCCTTCGCTGCGCCTCGTTCAGGGCAGCTTTCAATTCCCTTTTATCCTCCAGATGCCTCTGACACTGGGCTTGCAGTTCTGCCAAGGAATCCCTGACAAGTTGCAACTCCGTGCTCACCGACAACCGTTCGTCTTTCAGCTGATTTAGTCTGTACTCTAGATCGTCGATGGCTGATTTTGCGTTATTGCGGGCTACCTGGAAAATATCTGGAATTAGTATGCGATTCGAAAAATTTGCTTCCACGTTAATCCTATTTCGTGCGTTCATTTGTCTTACTTTGTATTCTTCTTGAAGCTGCGAGTATTGATCTCTGAGACGATCGTGATCGCAGTGCGAACGAGCCAGTTGCTCCTGGAGAGCCGCTGCTTGAGTCTCTAAAGTATCTTTCTCCCTTCTGGCGGCGTCCAAAAGCTCGTCAGCCTCGCTTTTGTTCTCCACTTGCCTCGACTGTTCCAATTCTTCGATTTTCGCTCGAGCATTCTCCAGTAAAGTGGCTAACCTACTAATTTCTATACTTCGGTTTGCTCCTTCTTGCCTAGCCTCTGCCAACTCCATGTCCAATTGCTTTCGTTCATTGTTCGCCACCTCGACGGTTGACTCCAGCAAATGAACACACTTTGTCAGACGTTCGGATTCCGCAGTACTAACTTCAGCAGCCGCTCGAAGAACCTTCAATTCCGAGGTCAGTTCTTCTTGCTTTTGCAGCAGGGATTCTCGTTCCTCTTGAGCACTCTGTAATTAGTGAATTTTCTCAGTAACTACTATAAAGTATCACGTTAACACCCATGAAGAATATGTACCTTTAAAAGGTCTACCAGCTTCTGTTCCCTCTCTGTGTTGTATCCTTTAGAAGACTCTTGAGGTTGCTCTTCCCTTAAAAGTAAACCTTGTAAGGTGTCAACCTTGGACCTTGAATCTTCCAGCTTTTCTGTTTGCCTGCACAATGACTCTAGAAGCACATCCTTCTCCTCTGTTAACCTTTCATTATCAGCTTGTAATTCTGTAAGCTGCGCCTGTAAGATGGAAATAAGACATTGGTATCTTACTTCAATACTAGATATTTTCATTTGTTTATGCTAAGAACCGTACTTGTAGATCGCTTAATTCCTGTATTGTTGCTTGTAACTCCTCGTTCGTTGAATAATGTGTTTCTTCCATTTGCAATATTCTATCCTGCAGACATGCGACAGAAACCTCTGATACAGAACTGGAAGAATGTTTGTCCCAATCCGGGGTAGTGCATTGTCCACTATCTTGGGGTATGGACGTGATAGGGGTAGAAGCTTCATCTTGAGGAATGGCTATGGATGCTGGTGCAGAGTTATGCAATCTGGATGCATCCAGAAGTAGTTGCTGCTTCTCAGAATCCGATAATGGAGAATGAGCTACGTCCCTGAGTCTTGAGCGAAGAGTTTCGTTCTCTTCTGTCAAACGCTCTAACTCCAAACTGTGCTGC